GAGAGAGAGAGAGAGAGAGAGAGAGAGAGAGAGAGAGAGAGAGAGAGAAAGAAAGAGAGAGAGAGAGACGCAATCGCTGATGCACAAACGACAGCCAATCGCTGGGAAGACATGATGTCATCCGCTACGGCGATTGGCCCTCACTGATTGTGGATGGCTCTCTCTCTCTCTCTCTCTCTCTCTCACACACACACACACACACACACCCTCGAGGTCGGGACGCGCCCCTGGCGATGGCAACCGTCATCGTCCGTCCGTCGCCACACGTGCGGACGACCATCGCCCTCCATCCCGCAGTACCGGTCGCCGGCGAACCGACACACCCCTCACAGGCCCAAAAAAAAACAAAAAAACAAAAAAAACAAAAAAACAAAAAAAAAATTGTGATGGCCTCCTACAATGCCACCAGTCACAGGTACCCCGCCCTAACGTGCGTCCGCCGTCGGACGGTGCCAGAGGCCAACTCACCACATGTGAAAAAGACTACCAAAAACGAATAGTACCGCGGGACACAGGCTCGGCGAATTGTGGCGCGCACCATAATTCAGGTTCGGTAAAAACAGGCTCGGAGGTACTAGTTGTTCAGCCCACCTGGTGGTGATTGTGAGGGTGGGATTGTGAGTGTGACTGGATTGTTTGTGTGGTGTGTATGACAGAGCGTTGGCCTTGGACACCGCTGTAATTCGGCCGGGTTCCAGAGGGCGCCCTTCAGAAATTGGGACACACGGGATCCCCTCTTTCTTTTTTTTTCAAAAGCGCGACGGCTTCGAACTCAGGTTTGTATTCCAACAATTCGTGGGTGTACCACCTTACCTAGCCCAGTTGGTAGAGCGTGGGATCCAAGCCTCATGCGAAGATCGACAGGAAGATCAATATAGCAGAAGACCTAATCAAGGCGAGATCCAGCGAGTCAAGCGGAATGCGGAGATCGGGGAGATCGGATTCCCGATCGTTCGCCTCTCGCAGCGTTGCCATTGCGTTCTGGCAGATTTGCCCGCGAGGTGCGCGACGTGCGCGGGCTCGCGGGGGGAGCGTGTACACGCGGCGCTCTCGCATCTTTCTTTAGCTTTGTCTTAATTCGACGGCTATTGTCGAGATGTCGCGCATCGTCCTGGATCTGGGCGGCTCCACGTGGACTGTCCGACAAACCCGTTGTTGTGCTATCGGGAATGCCGAAGCGGAGAATGGGCGGCAGGATCCGCTGCGCGCCGTGGATTGTCCGCGCGCACCTTTCCAGGCCAACGTACCTGGCTGCATTCACACCGATCTGATGGCTGCCGGCCTGCTGCCCAATGTGAACTGGCGGGACAATGAGAAGAAGCTGCACTGGGTAGCTGAGTCAGACTGGGAGTATCGGAGAACGTTCGTTGTCGATGAGGTCTTATCCAAACGACACGTACGTAATCACTCACTCACTCACTCACTCACTCACTCACTCACTCACTCAATCAATCAGTTATTGAATCAATCAATCAATCAATCAGTTACTGAATCAATCAATCAATCAATCAGTTACTCACTCACTCACTCACTCACTCATTCAATCAATCAATCAATCAATCAATCAATCAGTTAATCAATCAGTCGAGCTCCTGATACGTCTCGCTGTGCTGCGATCGAAAGAGAATCAAGTAGCATTCGAACTTCGCTGTCAATGACCTGCTATCCCGCCTAAATGACAGGGCACTACCGGTAGTCAGACTAAGGGCTAAGGGGGTAGTATGTTTTCGGCGGATCTGGCCGTTTTTGCGGTCGGATGCATGTAGCGAAGCGCTAGGGTAGGGCGAGTAAGACCTCTACAAATCGTTTTTGCGTCTTGCGCAAAACGTACGTGCCTGGGCATGCTTAGTTTCCCACCAGCTATCGTCTTCCAACGAATACAACGTGCGGTCATTGAAACCGTATATAGACTGAAAAATATACCCCAAATACAGCTATAATGACCGTACGTTGTATTCGGGGGAAGAAGGTAGAGAGAGATAACCCGTTGGCCCCCTAAGCCAGTATTGCCAGCACCTTGGGCAATATTGCTGGTTGCTATGCCGCAACCGAAACCGTGTTGGTCATTAGACACCGCTAATTTGGGGTTGAAGGGGTGGGGGGGGGAGAAGGGGGAGGTGCAGCCACTGGCCATAGTGCTCGGCAATACCGTCTTCACCCGAATAGAACGCCCGGTCATTATAGCTGCATTTCCCCCAGCGGCAATGCCTGCCCACCCCTCGTCACCCTGACGAGGGGCTGGTACAGCCTTGCTCTCGCACCACACAGCTGTGATCGACGACTTCTGATCGTTGATCCGATTGATCATCGATGGAAAAGTGTGTATTTTTTATAGCCATAGATTCAATCGATCATTGAGCAAGAGTAGTAATATATCGTCGACTCATCCAGCCGATCATTGATCCATCGATCGGTAATTTGATCGGTGATTGATCAGGGCGATCGTGGATCGACTGGTAATCTGATCGTTGATTGATCAAGCCGATCATCGAGATACCTTAGTGTACTAGTTTTCAAAACATATGACGATATATAGTGTGACAATATATATATGTATGTGACGATATATATATATATATAGATTCTGCAGACTGTTGAGGGTTCAGCCTCCTGATGAGTCGGTGAAACTCCGACGAAACAGTTTGTCACAGCCCCTCGTTTGTTGTCCTCTTCTCCCTCTCTGCCTACGGTTTACCGGGCAGTTCTATTTGACGATATATATATAATTTGGAGTTCAATTAACACGACACGCCAAAAATGTGGCTATAGCACTAAACAAAATGGGTATCAGTCGCATCATTATTGGAGCGGCAAATTCTAACGAAAAAAAAACATAATCTTGTTTTTCGGTACTGATGATCTGATCTTCGATAGATCAATTCGAACCATCGATAATACCTTTCTCGCCCTTTCGGTCTAATAAGATCAAGTGCAATGTATCTGTTCTGATCAATTTGATATTTGATCCGTGGTCCATCGGACCCCCCCCCCCCCCCCCCCCCCCAAAAAAAAAAAAAAAAAAAAAAAAAAAAAAGTTTTTTTTTGGGGTTTTTTTTTTTTTTTTTTTTTTTTTTTTTAAGTTAACGACCACTGTTACCGTGGGTTGGTTTTTACTTTGAACAAGATTGTTTTTTTTTTGCTTTTTCTGTGTTGTTGGGGTAATGTATTATTTTCCCCAGAGAAGAAGAAGAAGAAGAAGAAGAAGAAGAAGAAGAAGAAGAGCAATTTGGCCATTGCTTACCTTCTTCTTCTTCGGTCTAAACGATTTGGTCATTGAACAAGTAAGTCGTGTGCTCTGCAGTTAAAAAAAAAAAAAAAAAAGATTTTCGATTTCGTTTTTCCCTTTCGTCGGTGTGTAACTTTTTATTTCCTGTTTTTGTTAATCTGTAATCTTATAGCCATGAATCCTAAAAATAGCGTTATAGTACAAGCTAGGCTACCAGCCGGGCCGCCCGGGTCCCGGGTGGCCAGCCCGTGCGAGGACAAGGGAAGGTCCCAGCAAAAAAAAATAAATAAGAAAAAATCCTAAAAATCCGGAAAAAAACTATGTTATGCAGAAACAATAAACTGAACAACTTTTGCCTCATGGTCACATCCAGATTCTTTACCAAATTTAAAATCTAAAATAAAAATTTAAAAAATATATGTATGTATATATTTTAATACTTTTATTTAATTTCTATGTTTTTTTGGCCCGGCCGGGCAAGTGACCCCGGACCACTCTGGTAGCCTAGGTCGTAAGTCATTCGCTGAGTTATTGGCAAAACGATCCACTGTGTCGATCGTTCGTCGATTGTTCGTCGATCGTTCGTCGACGGTTCGTCGATCGTTCGTCGATGGTTTGTCGATTGTTCGTCGATGGTTTGTCGATTGTTCGTCGCTTGTTCGTTCGTCGATCCCTCCCAGTTGGAATGGACGATCGTTCGTCGATTGTTCGTCGGTCGTTCGCCGATTGTTCGTCGATTGTTTGTCGATGGTTCGTCGATTGTTCGTCGATCCCTCCCAGTTGGAATCGACGATCGTTCGTCGATTGGTCGTCGATTGTTTGTTGATTGTTCGTAGGTCCCTCCCAGTTGGAATCGACGATCGTTCGTCGATCGTTCGTCGGTTGTTCGTCGATTGTTCGTCGATTGTCGTCGATTGTTCGTCGATTGTTCGTCGATTGTTCGTCGATCCCTCCCAGTTGGAATGGATGGGATAGCTTGGATGGAAGGATGATCTCTGGCAGGAGTGTCGCAGGACCCCCCCCCGAAAAAGTGGACGGCTTGGATTGCATCTTTATCAGGTCAGGTCAGGTCATCGTCGTCATCATCATCAACCCTCTACTTCGTTTTTTGGTTGCCTCCTCACGGGTACCTCCAAACTCTACTTTTTTTTTTTTTTTTTTCCAGTTTTGCTTCAGCTTCGTTCAACTTTCCTCGTTTTTTTTTTTTTTTTGTGTGTCTAGAACTATTAACGGAACACCGAAGAGGAGTCGGGATCTGCACTGTGACTTGGGTTTCAGACTTTGTGCGTGTGTGTGTGTGTGTGTGTGCCAGTAATGATGCAGATGGAGAAGGAAAAAACCCCGGGTGCGGACTAACTCCCCAAAAAATTCTGGGAAACTTTTTGGTCCCAGATGGCCTCAAACCTTTTGTATTTTTTATAATCTGGTATGGGAGACCGGGAAACATGGGGGAGCTGGTGGGGCAAGGTGTCCTTACGTTGTTGCACAAAAAAGGAGATATGATGGACATTAGAAACTACCCGCCCATAACGGTGCTTACTGTCGTATATAAGATGCTTGCGAAAGCCTTAGCGAACCGGCTGATCCCGTTCTGTCTTTTCAGTCATTTTTGCCCTCGTCTTCGCTACTGATATATTTGGAATCCTTCAATTACCCTCCCCCGTAGGGTTTTCTATGACTGGATTAAAGTGGCCCCGGGTGTCCCACTACAGCCAGCCCAGGACTTTGCAGACCCCCCCCCCCCCCCCCCCCCGCCCCCGGCGGAATTTTCTGTCATTGTCGGTCATGCATGTGACGCGTCTTTTTTTTCTCTTAATTTTAATTTTAAGGCTCTTTTGATTTTTGGTATGTTACTGCTGCTGCAGCTGCTTTTTGCACTCCAGATCCGCTTTCATTTTGTTTTAATTTTTATTTTTTTGTGTTTTGACAACGAGACGGCTTGATCATGTACAGTAATAAATAGTAATAAGCACATAATAAATAAATTAATGAGTATCGATAGCTACTCGGTTACAGATTGAGTGTTGGATGAGTTTGGCGCGCAGCCTTGCCTTCATTCTGGATCACTTTATGGAATACCTTTGAATCTGATCTGTGTCCAATCAACTATAGGCCTTTTTGAATTCCAGTTTGATATGACTGGTATGTATCCCTCTTGATTGTGCCTCTCCCTCTCCCTCTCTCTCTCCCTTTCCCTCTTCCTCTCCCTCTCCCTCTCCCTCTCCCTCTCCCTCTTCCTTCTTTCTCTCTCTCTCTCTCTCTCTCTCTCGCGCGCTTGGTCATTCTTTCCGCACCCTGTGTTTATTTTTTCCATCGCCTTTCTTCTTGCCGTTCTTTCCCGTTGTCGTGCCCTTCCCTTCCTCCTCTCTCCTTCCTCCTCTCCCCTTCCTCCTCTCCCCTTCCTCCTCTCCCCTTCCTCCTCTCTCCTTCCACCTCTCTCCTTCCTCCTCTCTCCTTCCTTCTCTCTCCTTCCTCCTCTACCCCTCGTCCTCTCTCCTTCGTCTTGGCTTCTCAAGTCGACAATGTGTTCTGACTGCGACCGGGAAGCTTGTCCTGCCTTGATCTGTGATGGATGGCCCTCAGGTTGTGCTTCGGTTTGACGGCTTGGATACGCTGGCCAGTGTGGAGGTCAATGGCACGGAGGTTCTGGTCGCCGATAACATGTTCCGCTCCTGGGAGATTGACATCAAGGACCTGCTGGTTCATTGTCCGAAGGCAGAGATTCAGGAGGAGGGAGGAGGAGGAGGAGGAGGAGGAGGAGGAGGAGGAGTGTCGGGGAAGGAAAACACGCTGGTCGTGAAGTTTCGGTCCACGGTTCCCGAGCTTGCCAAATGCCAGGCTCGGCGCGCAATGTACGGATGGAACACTTTCGACCGTCGATATGAGGGCAATGCGTGGCTTCGCAAGATGGCATGCGGATTCGGTTGGGATTGGGGTCCCATGGCCCCGACTTGTGGGATTTGGCGCGCAGTGACGCTGCAGGCCTACGATGTCCGCATAGAAGACCTGCGAATCCGGCAAACACACATCAATGGCCAAGATCAAACCCAGGTGGTCAGCGTGCGGCTCGATGTGGATGTCCATTTGAAGGCTCTCTCCTCCTCCTCCTCCTCCTCCTCCTCCTTCTCTTCCTCCTCTGTTGATGCAAAAAAGACTCCTTTTCAGATACGCATGGACGTGCGGCCTGTCTTGGAACAGGACTTCGGTGTGAATGGTAGTTCCAAGGAAGAAGGGAAAGGGGGGATCTTGATCACTAATTACACCAACAGTAATGCAACTGATGATGCAAGTCCCGATCTTCCTCCTCCAATTGCCACGTGTACGGCAGATGCAGCAGCAGACTCGGAATGTGTGCGGCTTACTGCTGACGTGTCAAACCCTCAGCTATGGTGGCCTAATCGCTTTGGCAAGCCATCTCTCTACTTGATTACCATCTCTCTTCTCCAAACTTCTGCCTCCTCCTCCTCCTCCTCCTGTGTGGTCATTGATCGAGTGCAGAGAAGAGTCGGTCTTCGAAAGATCCAGCTTGTGAGGGAGAAGGATCAATGGGGGGAGTCCTTTTTGTTTGCCGTCAACGGAAAACCCTTCTTCGCCAAGGGTGCCAATTGGATTCCAGCGGACATTTTTACAACACGTCTTCGGCACCGAGATTATGCTGAACTGTTGACGTCATCAGCAGAAGCGGGCATGAATATGATCAGATGCTGGGGAGGGGGGATTTACGAGAGGCCGGAGTTCTACGACATCTGCGATGAGCTAGGTTTGCTGGTATGGCAGGACTTCATGTTCGCTTGCTGTACCTATCCAGCTTTTGACGATTTGTTCATTTCCAATGTACGAGAAGAGGCGGTGGAGATCGTTCGACGATTGAGACACCATGCATGCGTAGCTCTTTGGTGAGGAGGTGGTCGCCTCTCTCTCTCTCAATCTTCGTCCATCTTCATCTTCCTCTCTTCCCTCCTCTTCGTCGTTTTCCTTCTTTGTCTTCCCCTCTTCCCCCTCCCCCCTTCTTCCTCCCTCTCTCTCTTCCTGGCTCGTTTTCTTACTCTGCTCCTTCCTGCTTCTGCTCTCTGCCCACTCTCTCTCTCTCTCTCTCTCTCTCTCTCTCTCTCTCTCTCTCTCTCTCTCTCTCTCCCGCGCCCCCCTCGCGACCTTACATTCGAGAGGATCGGTCAGGAATGCAGAACCTGGGCTCTCTCTCTCTCTCTCTGTTTCTTCCATCTTCCTCTCCCCCCTTGTTCCTCTTCCTCCTCCCTCTTCCACCCTCTTCGTTTTCCTCCTTCTTGGTCCTCTTACTTCTCTCCTTCTTCCTGATCGTCCCTGCTCTCTCCGTGCTTCTCTCTCTCTCTCTCTGTGTCTGTGTGTCTGTGTGTGGTGCCTCCTGTCTTTTGTCGTTCTCCCTCTTTCTCTTCTTCCTTCGTCCTCTTCCTCCCCCATCCTCTTACTCCGCTCCTTCTTCCTGTTCCTCCCTGCTCTCTCCCTCCCGTTCCTCTCTCTCGGCTTCTCCCTCCCTTTTTGCCTTGTTTGTCCATTGCTCTTTTCGCTGCCGCCTCTCCCCCCACTTGCCGTGGGTCCTTCCTCCTGCTTCTTACTTTCTCTGGCCTCCTTCGCCCTCTTTACCTTCCCTTCGTGTCTTACTTCTCCCGCTCTCTCTCTCTCTCTCTCTCTCTCTCTCTCTCTCTCTCTCTCTCTCTCTCTCTCTCTCCCCTCCCTGCTCTCTCCCTCCCGTTCCTCTCTCTCGGCTTCTCCCTCCCTTTTTGCCTTGCTTGTCCATTGCTCTTTTCGCTGCCGCCTCTCCCCCCATTTCCCGTGGGTCCTTCCTCCTGCTTCTTGCTTTCTCTGGCCTCCTTCGCCCTCTTTACCTTCCCTTCGTGTCTTACTTCTCCCGCTCTCTCTCTCTCTCTTTCTCTCTCTCTGCACTTCTCCCTCGTTCGCCCTCTTTACCTTCCCTTCGTGTCTT